ACGTCCGGAAGCACCACAAACTTATGTGACATGATATCTCAGCTGCTGACAGCGTGACAAACGTTTGAAAAAATTAAGGATATTTTAGAAACAAATTCTAAACCTTCCGATGTCAGCGGTTAGCAGGCCAAAACTTTATTATCGACCTCATATTATACGACTCCGGGGACAGGTCATTGTAGACTGCCTCAGCAAATTGGTTCGTCTTGCTAATATCTTGCTGCTCTCAGTGACTACGCTATCGGCGAGTAAACGCCAAGTTGATCCGCGGCACAACATAGCTTGCCGGTGGCCACTGTGTCAATCGAACTTTACAGCGAAATTTTGGCGGACTTTGATTTAACTGCTTGGCACCTGATTGAACGTGTCCGCTTCTGACCATTCGCAGACAGGAGGTCAAACAGAACGCGCAAATCGCATGATCAGAGAACACCTCCAAAGCACTTTCGCAGAAACCGCAGCGCTGGATTTAGCGGCTTCTACACAATATATTTGCCTTAAATATTACTGTGCATGTTTTTCACGGCTCAACCTCATTTTTTATCTCGAAGGTCCGGCTAGCATCAGGCTTCCTGTGATACCTCCCCAAAGTGGTATCGGTCTAGATATGGAGGGTCTTGATATGACTTGAGTCAATGATATCGACCCAGCTACACACCGCAGCAAAGTCAAAGACTTTCCATTGAATGATTCATGTGTCGAGTGCACCGCGTTTTAGTTGTGAGCAAGAATGCTAAGTAGCAGCAAACCGATAAAAGAGATAGGCGCGTAACAGAGGATTACGCAGTGAGCGAATAGATCTTGATAAGCGATATCACCCTTCATGCACAAGCACATATTCAACTAAAACCACGCAAGATTGGACGACTCGCGATCTTAGCCAATGCAAAATTGATTACACCTTTGACGATTGGAACATAATGTAGACACACACTTTGATCTGCGCGGGCTTGCCTTAATCAGTCGGATGTTCCGCACTTTGTTTGAGACAACGTAGCGTATCTACTATCTTTTAGGACCAACCTCCTTCTGCTTTTTATCAACAACACGGTTTTGAGCCACCAAGGGCGCTGCATAGCTACAAGTGCAATGGCGTAGCTCAGAGAGCGCATTCGAAAAATTGGCCCCTCTCGTATTCAACCGTGTGCCGAGAATTTGAAAGTAGTCGACATACCTCCAGCCAGCGATGGAGGTCACGAAAGCTAACGCGGGAGATTCGTCCTGCGTTGGCGCCGCCCGATGCCTAAGGGTGGCTCACTTTCAAGTGCAGCAGTAAGTGAGTCAGCGAGAATACTTGAGCTGTTCCAGTTACTGTTGGAATGAAAAAATTTCCGTCACCCCGAACATTTGTGGGACTTTGAGGTCTTGCTGCCGCAAGATTGCCTTGGCGATGATGCCACTGATAATATGACGCACCCTCGATTTCTTCGAGACAGAATTGCCTAATCCATTGCCCACTTGCGGATTATCCTGGGCATGCTCTAGGTTTAACACCTGCTAGGTAGCTGCGAATACATCATATAGAGATGAGCGATGCTGTCAGCAGTAACTTTTGATGATGTTGAGCTTTCACCTCGACGTCAGCGTTGCGCTTTGTACTTAGCAGAACCAGGCCTTAAATATGTGAAGTCGGACAACCGCGTTACATCGGCTGACTCCCAAAGCTCTGGGACGGATTAGGCGACGCGTATTTCTCACGCAATACGCGACTTGAGTGTGATCAGTGTGATACGCTTCGATACCCTTGCCAGCATTCAGTACCCAAAGTGCGTTCGTCATTGAAAGCACGATTTTACCCAGCTACTACTTGAGATGCACTCTGAAAAGGAGAAGTCTGTGGTACACGTGCCACGTCAGAAAGACAGTACTTCTAGGGGCTTGTAGTTATATGGGAGTTGACAATTAGCATTTATCTGTCTAAATGGCCAATCGACATGTTGTGTAACACTCGACGCATGCGAAATGTGTCTTCCAAAACGAAACTCAACACTCAAAAGCATGAGAATACAGACACGCCGATATACCCCACTCGAGCATTTAGGCATTTCGGGCTTCTCAATTACAGTTTCGGCATGCCATGATTGAAGCGCTAGCAGTCTAGTATTGACTGGATGAACATGAAGATTGTTGTTAACAAGTCGTGCAGCGCTGAGTTGAGCTGCATGACTTATCAACCTCTCGCAATAGCTTTTTTGGTTGACTTACTGTTTTCACGCAAGCAGTTTGTTTACCATAGGGCACCCCTGTAATAAGCAAGTAGTGGAAGCTTGTGTGTACAACAACCCTTATGCATTTGGTACAATTGTAATCGGTACACATTACATGGTGTGATTCTTAATGCGCATAAGTCCCGAAAAATCGGTATTATTGAAGATTGATGCCGCACGTTCGAGAAGATTGACGAGATCATAACTTTAATTTTTTCAAAAAATGCACAAATGCGATTGGCTCGATTTGAGCTTCATTATGTAAACTGCATTGCTTGATGCAGTG